AAAAGGCTATGATGTACTTTTCACCTTCATCCAATCAGGGGTAAGCATGCATCCTGATGTACTTCCTCCCTATGTATCTCCACCCTACACGTGATCAAGCACCTCCTGTGAGGTTGGAGCAACCAACCTTGTTTATTGAAGTGAAAACACGTGACTTGTTATCTATAGGAACTGTAGACCCTAGCATTTAGGAAGTTTTCTGTCCTCAGTCAGGTGAGGCTCACTGGTTATCTTTAACCCTCACACGGCTTCCACCTTCCTCCTCTTTGTGGGCAGCCATCTTTGAAGGACAGGAAATTGGGTTGCTTTTTCCCCCATTTTGACATAGTTCGAATTCTGAGAAGGTGAGGCAGGGAAAAAACCTTACACTGAAGCTCAGGTTGTGAAATTAACATATGAAAGGAACCAGTGACTAAGAGAAAACTAAGAACTTCCCCGAACAAACCTGACCTGTCACAGAGAGAGCATGCATGAAAAATGCTGGCAAATATGCAAATGTCAAAACAGGTTACAACCTTTTGGACAGGAAGCCATTGATCTTCTAGCCTTCCTCTTGGGTCTGGCCTGCTTCCTCTCTTGGAAGTATGTTCTTTCTTAACAAATTGTTTCTGCTGTTGCTGCTACCTGAATGTCTCTGCCTAGGTTTTGATTGAAGACATAAGAATTTGGAAATCCCCTAGAGCAGAAAGTGCCCACCACTCTCCAATAACCAAGGATACAATTCTGATATGCCCTCTTCCTTAAGATTTTGTTTTGGGGACATAGAAAGCGTCCTGATTATGAAGAGGCATCTATCTTAAATGATTTCCAAGCTGGATAATTTCTAAATAGCTTCCTTGCCATGTCTAGATACAAGTGCAAAGGCTTCAGGCTTAAGACAAACTGTTGGGGGAAGTCCTGTGTATTTGTCAATAAAGCACTGTTGGCCAATAGCAAACTAAGATAGGTGGGACTAGGAGTCCAGAAGGACTCTGGGAAAGAGAAACACAGAGAGTTGAGATGTAACGCCATGGGGTAAGAAGCCTGGAAACCTCTCCGGTAAGAGAAATACTTAGATTTGCAATTATGGGATAAATACTTAAGTCAGAGCTAGTCAGTAAGAAACTAGCAAGACCAACAGCTTCATAATTAATATAGTCTCATGTGTGTTTATTTGGGACTGATGCGGCTCTAGAACCAGGCTGGTGGGAAGGCTTCTCTCAAGGAAAAGGCTTCCCTTTACAACAAACCCACCAACTTTTTACAACTTTTTGCATAGACTGGAAACTGGAGACACAGAACTCCATCAGACAGTCTTAGCAGCTCAACCATTCACTTCCACCAGAAATGCCAAGAGATTTTTCCAGAAAATACCTTGAGCCTTCTGACACCAGGGTAGACCATCACCAACACTTCTGGAATGAGGTTTTTTATTTAAATTATATACTGTATGTGACACTTTTTTAAACTTTCTACCTTTTCTTTGTGTCTTTCACATCATGCCATCTCGATCCCATTTGAAAGGTTCAGGCATTTCACTGGCCTGCCCCATTACCTGTCAGGATTCACTCAGGCAGCACTCTGGCCAGCCCAGAGTTCCATGAGAACCAGTCTGCTGGCAGGTGCAAAGGATCCCTTTACAGGACCCCTTTAAAAGACAGACCCCAGCCCACTTACTCTCATCTTCTCTTCTCCCTTACCTTCTCTCTCTCTCTCTCTCTCTCTCTCTCTCTCTCTCTCTCTCTCTCTCATATGTCTGTCTCCCCATTTAGGTCTCACTATAATAAACTATGATTAATACATTCTCCATGGCTCATGCTGTATTGCGCCCATCCTGTCCCCTGTTCCTGTCTCCTGCAACACTTTCTTTTTCCTTTTTTCTAATATCTAATCTTAAGCAAAATAACAACACCATTTATCTCCCCATTCCTTCAAATCCACCTTCTGCTCTTATAAACTCCCTCTGCAAAAATAAAAAAGATACATATATATAATTTCAGAGAAAAAAAGAGAGGGAAAAGAAAAGGAGAAAAATGTCATTGTGGAAACTGTAGTGTCACACAATATATCCTTTTGTGTTCACATATCTTTATTTGCAAGTGTTCATTGCAAAGAGTCATGGGTCCAGTTTGAGGCTCTGGTTTCTGCTACATCATCCATACAGGGCCCTCTCTGGGACTCGTCTTGGATATCCTGTTGCCCTGTGTCGTAAAGATCTGCATAGAGATCATAGATGAGGGGCATGTTGTGGTGGGCCAATTTATAACCCTGGTTCTGGACCTGGGTATTTGCAGGGTTGGTCAGCTTGTCAACTCTACCCCGTCCTCACCACCAAGGAGGTGAGGACAGGGCATTGCCCAGGTTGGTTCACCAGGCTAGTAGTTCACAGTATTGCTCAGGCTAGCTCACAGGATTGCCCAAGCTAGTTCACCCTACACAGCAATGAGCCCCAGCTCATTAGGGTTGGCTCACCCACACCTACACCATCAAGACCAGCTCTACAGTGTTGCCAAGGGGAGGTGCAGGGTCTGCTCTTCTGAGTGCTGCAGCTGGTGAGGGGCAGAAACAGCTCCCCAACTTTTATGACTCAAGGCCCACCCCCCTACCTGCCTCAGTAGTGAGGGGAGGAGCCTGTTTCTCCCTCCCCTACTTTAAGGTATAGGGTAGATGAGGGGTGGTTTCAGCTTTCCACTCTCATGGCCTCGGGGCCTGCTCATCCCTGCCCCTGCCATCAGGGTCAGCTCTGCTGTACTGCCCAAATGAAGAGAGGGACCTGCTTTCCCGAGTGCTACAGCTGGTAACGGGGAGGGTCGGCTCCCTTGTCTGTCATAGAGAGAGGGATGAGGGGTATGTGGGGGACATTTCTTCCTCACAGATGAACACGGGGCCAGCTCTCCCACGCTCACGAGGGGCGGATTGGATCATCTGTGGTACCCCCCTCAACCCCCCAACAGGGTGGGCTCTACTATGCTGCCGAGGTGCAGGGCCTGCTCTCCTGATTGCTGCAGCCAGTGAGGGGTGGGGCTTTGTACAGCCCTATCCTCTCTGCCTTTGGTGATAACAGGAGCCACCAACATCCACACAGACCCGGCTACAACAGGGTCATGAACCTCGACATGGGCCAAACATTACCATATCAATCAAGCCGTCCACCTCAGCCCACTCCTGCCTTCAACTCTTCGGATATGCCTGTCTGCAGGTCACAGACCATTCTGTCTGTCTGTCTGTCTCTCAAACAACTCTATACATTTGCTCACTATAACAGTACCTCCAACACTTGGAAGGAAAAAAAGAATATAGAAAGGGCTTAAGAACAAGAAGAAAGCAATAGTAGGCACTTTAAGGACAGAGGAAACAATTAAAAAACAAAACAATACACGAAAATATTCAAATGCTGCCAACAGTTCTCAGGCGCTCCTCATTTCTCCGAGAAAAGAACCAAAAATTAATGATTGAAATTAACTGCAAGGAGTATGGATGGAGTAATAGTTTGGACAAAGAATAGGTTGAGAATGGGAGGGGGAGTGAGATATTAGGGTGGTGGCAGGTGTGAGGTGTTTTTCAAGATTTCCTGCTGTGGACTATGGAGGCAGACTCATTGGTAAAGTCCTTGCTGCAAAAAGACAAGGGATTGAGTTTGGATTCCCAGAACTTACATGAAATCTAGGCAAAGTGGTAGCTGCCTGTAACCCAGTGGTAGAGGTGCTGACAAGAGAGCACCAGGGCTTCATTGGACACAGACGAGCTAAACAGTGAGGTTCAGACTCAGTGAGAGGCCTTGTCAAAACAAACAAACACAAAACAAAAAACCCCAAAGGTAGACAATGATAGAGGATATAGAACTTGGACCTCCATATCTGCCTATACTAGATGGCTATGTTATCTCACCACCACATACACATTTAAAAACAAAAGAAGAGAAATTTCCTGCAAATACAGAAAGTGCTTGGGATAAGAGTTGGTAGGGAAAGTAAGCACAGAAAAAAGAATTATTTGTTTTTGTTTTTTGAATGTGAAAGAAGTTATAGTGTCTTGCAAGTGGTAGCAATCCAACTGAGGGAAAAAAAAAACCGAAGATGCAGAAGACAATGGGGAATTTCTGAAGTGGTGTTCTTGAGTGGGCAGGAGAGAACATGATCTAGCGTGTAAATGGGAAAGGAGCTTTGATGTGAACACAGACCGTGTTTGGAATCAGTCAGGAGCCAAGTGTATGCGTCATAGTTTTGGAGGGAGTTTATTCCCTCCTGATGGCTTCAGTTCTCCATGTCTTAATTCCTGTCAGTTACACAGGATGTATAGAGTCTTAGGCTTTCTCTGCTTAAAGTCCTATACTCCCCATATCCTTTGCCCTCCCATCCTCACTCCTAAATTCTCCCATGATATCATCGGTAGTGTAATGTATGCTGCATCTCGGTATATGACACTTCCTTACCCATAACCTCTCAATTCTGACTACAGTTATAAAAAGGAATTATTTGATTTTAATAAGTTGCGTATATTTCTCATTGATTATCTGACTATACTTTTTATTAATTACTTTCATGTCAGTTGCTTAGGTTTGTGTGTGTGTATTTTAAATTTTATTCATTTTTGGTATTTCGAGACAAATTCATTCAATTTAACACAGGCTAGCCTTGAAGTCATTATGTAGCGCAGCCCAGTCTAAAATTCACAATGATCCTCTTGCCTTAGCCTGCCTCCTCTACCTCTCTCTCCCCTTCCTTTCATCCTAGCTTAGGCTAATCTCCAACTCAAAATCCCCCTTGTTCAGCCTCTAGAAAGAGAAGAATTCTTCCACATTCACACCACACCTGGCTCCTTTAATAAAATTTGTACTGCAGGTTTTCAATTTGATCTAATTGTTTTCTAAAACACCTTTCTATGCTATGATTATTAGTCTTATTTTTTCATGAATGTAGCAAATATATTTTCCCAAATAGCCATTTACCTTTCAATGATGTTTTCTGGCAACTAAAAATACTTTTAAAAAGTGTTACTTTAAATCAGTAGGTAATTTATTATGAAACCTATTTTGTGCACTTAGAAAACACGTAGCTTCTCTTTGAGATGAGATACCCTAGGACCCTCTTGAGAAAGGATTTGGGTGTCAGTTGGTCTGGGCCCCTTCATCTTTGGCAGCTGCTTAAATCCTTGGCAGTTTGCCAGGTAACAGCTCTCCTTAGAAGACTGCTATTAGTTGATATCTGAAGTTATAATTAGAGGAAGAAAAGAATTACTCCTTTGAGGTCCTGTGAGAGTTGAACCTACAAAAAGAAAAGTTTAGTTGAAAATTATACAACCAGGTATGATATCAAGACAATGTCTATTTTCTAGCTGCAAATCTACCCATTGATTCATTCAAGCAATTAGTGTTTTGCTATTTCCTACTGTGTAGCAGATGCTAGGCTGGATTACAGTATAGAAGGCCACATGCCACATGCAGGGAATTTGCATTCTAATGGCAGGAAGCCCAGGAAGCATCCAGAAAGCATCTGTCAGACAAGGGGTACAAACTGCATATAATCATGGAATAATTTAGCAGTGTATGATCAGATGAACGATGGCATTGAAACAAGGACTGAAAACTACAGCAAATACAGTTGAGTATATATATATATACATACATATATATATATATATATATATATTCTCAAACCATTCTCTTGAGTACAAACCAGATCCCTGAAGAACTAAATCAGCATCTTCTAAGGGTGATACCTCCCCAGTGACCCAAGCAGACCCACCTCTTAAAGGTCCCAATACTTCTCAACACTTCCTTTCTGAAGATCAAGCTTTTATCCCAGGATTGTGGGATACTGAAATCATACATAAACAATAGCAATGCCTTAGTAGGTATTCACTGTACTCATTCTTTCTTTTATATAAATACTATTCTAGGTAGGGTTACTGTTTCGGTGATGAAATACCATGAGCAAAGTAACTCGAGGAAGAAAGGGTTTACTGGTTTACTTGGCGTACACTTCCACAGCACTGTTCATTATTGAGGAAAGTCAGGTCAAGAACTCAAATAGGGCAGGAACCTAGAGGCAGGAGCTTATTCAGAGGCCACAGAGAAGTGCTGCTTACTGGCTTGCTCCACATGGCTTTCTCAAACCTGTTTTCTTATAGAACCCAACACCACCATCCCAAGTGGACTGGTGTATTCTTTTTTTTTTTTTTGGTGTTTCAAGACAGGGTTTCTCTGTATTGTTTTGGAGGCTGTCGGTCCAGCCCAGCCTTGAACTCACAGCGATCCACCTACCTCTGCCTCCCAAGTGCTGGGATTAAAGGCGTGCGCCACCACCGCCTGGCGACTGGTGTATTCTTTTTTTTTTTTTTTTTTTTTTTTTTTTGGTTTTTCGAGACAGGGTTTCTCTGTAGCTTTGGAGGCTGTCCTGGAACTCACTTTGTAGACCGGGCTGGCCTCGAACTCACAGAGATCCGCCTGCCTCTGCCTCCTGAGTGCTGGGATTAAAGGCGTGCACCACCAACGCCCGGCTGGTGTATTCTTAATCAACATCTAAGTAAGAAAATGCCCTTCAGACCTGCTCACAGACAGATCTTATGGAGGCATTTTCTTAATTGAGGTTCCCTCCTCTCCAGTAACTTTTGCTTGTGTCAAGATAACATAAAAGAAGCCAAAACAAATGTCATTGCTTTATATCAATACCAGAAACAACTGACCTGCTATGAATATAAATGTGTCAAAACATTTTGTTTGTTTGATTCCAAGACAGGGTCTCATTATGTAGCTCTGGCTGCTCCGGAACTCACTGTATAGACCAGGCCGGCCTTGAACGAACATAGATCCACCTGTCCTTGCTTCCTAAGCACTGGTATTAAAAGTGTTTACCACTAAGACTGGTGGCATAAGCATTTTGTGTTTAACACACTAAGAATTTTAAAACTCCTTACTCTAGAAGTTCAGTTGATAGAGCATCTCAGTGTAACATGCCCAGAACAGAATGCTGGATCTTCCCTGCCTGCCCAACATGTTAGTTCCACAGAGTCCCCCATCTTGGTGAATGGCAGCTTCAGCCTTGCAGTTATGAGATCAAAAAATCCTTATAGTAGTCCTTGACTAATGTAGTGTAGTGGAGCTACTACACAGAAGATAATTGCTGTAGAGATGACATGCAATGGAGATTCTCTTAGGGTTTCTATTGCTGTGATGAAACACCATGACAAAAAAGCAAGCTGGGGAGGGAAGGGATTACTAGACTACACTTCAGCAATGCTCTTCATCACTGAAGGAAGTCAACATAGGAATTCCAACAGGGCTGGATTCTGGAGGCAGGAGCAGATGCAGAATCCATGGACGGGTACTGCTTACTGGCTTGCTTTCTGTGGGTTGCTCAACACACTCTCTTAGAGAACCTAGGACCATCATCAGGCCATGGATGGCACTATACACTGTGGGCTGTGCCCTCCTCCATTGACCACTAAATAAGAAAATGTCTTACAGCTGCATTTCCGCAATTCAAGTTCCTTCCTCTGATGACTCAAGCTTGTGTCACATTGACACAAACCAGTCAGTACAGAGATGGAGCAGCAAGAATGAACATACATAATAAACCAAATACCTAAAAGTTGAATATATGTAACACATTACTAATTAGTTTTAAATATGTGGAAAATGACATGCAATAAAAAAACTAGAGCAAGATAAAGAGGAAGGGATTAGCTGGAGGTTGCAGGGTTAGTTATCATTGACCTTACTGAGGAAGAAACACTTTGGCAAGGAACTGAAAACTCAAAAATCTTTTGCCCTATAACCACTGTGCACAAACCTCTACCCCAAGAAAATCCCCAAGATTGCAGACAGGTCTCTAAATGCCTAATTCCAAATCTTAGACTCTGGTGGTTGTTGCAACCAAGCCCTCATATCAGACTCTTGATCTCTATTCCTTTCAGCATTTACTAAAAAGGACTTCTATCTATGAATGTGCATCTCTCATAACTCAAAAGCATTTTTCCCTCTAGGATCTGAAAGTCTTGCTTTTGTTCATCAGGCAGTTGTAAAATGTCTACTTATACTGTTATACTGTGACAGTATGAAGAGTGAAGAATGAAGCTCCTGCCCTTCCCAAAGTCAAAGTCAACTCAATGGCTTTAAATGTCAAGAAAGACGTGCTGAAAAGGCATTTATAGCCACTAAAGGATCTGTACATTACCCCCCTTCCCATGGTCCAAGAGGCAGCACAAGTACCCAAGTATATACATGGATAAGCACATATATGTGTACTTACCCATAAAATATATAAGCATATTATGTATAATACATACACACACACAACCCCAAAAGCAGAGCCACATTAAAGTGTAATAACACTCAGAAAACAATAATACTTAAATTTGGCAAGGTCTAATTTCCTGATTCTGAATCCTACCTCCACTTATGAGGATCTGTGAAGCTACTATAGTGATTCTCCACCCAAGTGGCTACCTACCTACAAAGTGAATGAAACGTGTCTTGAATGCATATGTCCTTTTTTTTAACCTGTTTTAGATGACTGCCTAATTCATTTAAAATCATTACGGAATGCAAAGTCACACTAAGTAGTTATTATTATTAAATCAACAAGCACCAGTATTACAACTATTACAATAAATGATGCCATGTAAAATTTCAGCCTCAAAAGAGACGCGTGGTCAGCACAGTACCATGAGGCTCACGGCAGGAAGATTCCCAGGTGAGGCCAGCCTCGGCTACTCATCCAGACCTCATCTCAAAACAAAAGTGGGTAACAACTAAAAATTTTTTTTCTATGGATTCTAGAATTAGTCATTTGAACGGTGTCATTATTTATGTGCGCGACAAGGAAAAACTCCGAATCTGTTTCTTCACAATTAGAGAAACATAGTGCATATTCGATGTTCAGCCATGCTTTGTAAAAAGCTGAGGTCAGATCATACCTAAGAACTGGTAATTTCTCTGAGGGCATGATTGTTACCAACTCTCCCCCCCCCATTCGTAGGGAAAAGAAGAAAAAATTCTTGCAATGAACCAACCAAATCAGACATACTAAAGAGCTGTCAGAGAACTTAAGTACTGTCTTTTCTTTGTATGTGACATATATGCGATAGGAAAGATCCTTGTTTTGATTTACACTTGTACCGTTAACAACAAAAAGTAGACAGGTGTGAAGCTCAGTTTGGCCTCTTTTCAGTTTCAGATCCTGAAATCACTTTGGCTGAACAAGGAACGGAAAACACACGGACTTTGCCAAACAAGGCTCTCTACGTTTTACTTATCCTTTTGGTTTTTGTTTTGTTTTGTTTTGTTTTGTTTTGTTTTACGAGACAGGGTTTCTCTATATTGTTTTGGAGGCTATCTGTCCCGCCTGGCCTCGAACTCACAGAGATCTGCCTGCTTCTGCCTCCCGAGTGCTGAGATTAAAGGCGTGCGCCACCACCGCCGGGCTTACTTATCCTTTTAAAGCCTTAAAAAAAGACCAAAATTTTCCTTTTACTGTTTCTTTTTACAACGGCAGCGTAACACACCACGGAGAAGCGGAAAACAACGTCCTTACACTTTAGACCAAGGTTATTGGCGACTGCCACGCCCCTCAGGTCGAGGGGGCGGGGAGCACCGCAGTTTTGAGTGGCGGGCTCCTGCGGCTGCGCAGCCACGTCATCACCGGCGCGTCGCGCGGGGGGGCGGGACCGGGCCTAGAGGCGTCCTCGCTCGCCCTCTAATGGAGGCCGGTTTTGGAGGCCGCGCGCCGTCGCTTGCTCGGTTCCCTCTCCCGGAGTCTGGCGCTGCCCGTGCACCAACTTCCTGTCGCTAGGAAGGCCCTGCAGGGGCGGCGACTCCAGCTCAGCTGCTCTTGACGTCGCCTCTCGGCCGCCATGGCTGAGAAGCAAGCCGACTCAGCCGGAGACCCGGCTCCTGACAGTGTGGTAGCCCCCAAAGCAGGACCCGAGGTGTCCTCGCCTGGGGCCTCCGAGTCCGGGGACTACGACAGCACCTGCGTGTTCTGCCGCATAGCGGCGGGGAAGGAACCCGACACTGAGCTCTTGCACTGCGAGGTGGGCGGCGATAGGCCCGGGTGGGTGGGAGCCAGACCGCCCGTCCCTGCCCGCTCGCCCACCCTTGGCTCCGTGACCTCTCTCTGCGACCCGGAGGTCTGCAGCGACCCCTTTGCTGCTCTTTCGGGAGACACGGTTGCGATAGGAGTCAGGCACCTTCGCCTCCCTCTGCACGCATTTGCCACGCAACTGCACGCTGTGCCCTTGCTGTTGTTAATAGGGAGCCTTCCTCTCCTCTCGATAGTCATTTTAAATTCGGCATATTTCTACTATCGGTAGAGAGGAGACAGCTAGCAGAAAATAGATCATGGGCGTGGTGAAGAAGTCTGAGTTTGGTTGAAAACAGGTTGGGATGGGGTTTCCGGTCTGGATTGGAAGTCGAACTGACACTTCAGTGGCCACACCACCTAAGAGAAAGTCTCGTCCTCTCCCATCAACCATGAGCTCCTCCCCCTTTCATTACAAGATATTGCCAGGTTCAGTCCTGTGCAGATGAAATGCAGGTAATCGCAGCTGGTGCGAGTTCTAGATTGCAACAGCCTTGTCATGCCTGGAAATCATTATTCCATAAAAGTCCCCCTTTTCTCTGGCTGTAACTTTTTTTTTTACACCCCGTCATCCTGAATAAACAGTTAATCTTTTTAGAGGGATTAATCATCTTGCATTTAAGATTCTTATCACACATATATTTGTTGAAAACACCCGAGCCGATTTGACTTATACAAGGTCTGGTATAGTTTTATATTTAAGTACAGAGGAAATTATTTGATTTGGAATAATCAGTTACTAACATTATGAAGAAAGTGTTTGGGAAACTTTTCCAACAAAGGTCAGAGAAAATTCCTCACTTCACAGATCGCTGTATAGTTTTCTTATTGTATTTTACAGAATTCATTCGAGCAAAGGGAGTACCACATAGTCTTAGCAGAGCGCATACCCCTTCCAAAGGCAGTGTCTTACTCTTTGTGCACGAGGCACAGGTATACGTATAATATACATAAATAGTATGGTTGGCGTTTGTATTTCATGGTATTGATAGGAATTATCTTTAAGGGCTCTTAGAAATAGTCGGGCAATTGTGGTACAAACTTTTATATCTACAGAGTCTACAGAGTGAGTCTGAGGATGGTCAAGGCTAGACAGAAGGGAGGATGGTTCTTAGCAAAAGAAAACAGAAAAAAAACAAGAAACCCAGATTAAATTTTTCCATGTTTGAGCCCATGCTAAGCAAATACCTCAGTGCTAATTTAACTCCTGTTTGTTAATCAAAATTGTCTTGACACCTCAGATTGCATGGTACCAAAGTTTTTTCACATGAACTTTTGTTTTAGATATCAAGGTACAGTTACTGGGAAGAAATTATTGTAGCTATTTTAAGCAAAATATATTTTTGAGAAGTATTTGTTAGAAAAATTATTGGAAGATTAGGAGAAGCAGGTTCAAGAATAGTCTATAAGAACTACAGCCAGAACAGGAGGTGGTGGCACATGTCTTTAATCCCAGCACTCGGGAGGGTAGGCAGAGACAGGCTGATCTCTGTGAGTTCTAGGCCAGCCTGATCTACAAACAAAGCTACACAGAGAAACCCTGTCTCAAAAAAACAAAAACCAAAAAAAAGAAAAAAAGAAAAAAAAAGTATTTCAACCAGAACAGCATGATAGAACCTTATAGAACCTTACACAGGATGGCTTTTTCTGCCCCTTGCTTTAAAAAACACAATAGATTATCATAGAAATAATTTCATAGCTATGTAGAGATCCTTTACATTCTTTTTAAATAGCTGTCCAGTATAGTTTATTGCATAGTTTTACCAACATTGTCTTTCAGTTATAGACAATGATTCCTTTTCAGTTCCTTGCTGAAGTCATACTGTAAAGATCATCTGTGGATGGAGGTGTAGCTCAGTGGCAGAACTTGCCAAGCATGTGAGGCCCCTGGTTTCATCGACAGTACTACAACAGATAAAAAGAATAAAAAGTACATATGTGTATACACAGAGTCTCAGTGAACCTGTAGCTTGTAGATTTGGTAGACCCTCCCATCTCCACCACCTAGCAGGGTTATACCTGATTTTATGTGGTGCTGGGATCTGAACTTGGGTTCCAAGCTTGGGAAATGAACCAAATGAACCATCTCCCCAACCCACAGTGTGTTTTTATCTTAATATCTTCTAAGATATTCCATTGAGATCAGTGCTTATCTGCTACTTAGACTGAAATAAAATGAATCAAAATGTAGCTGTTGTGCTTGTTGTCTTAGATAACTAGGATTAATAGTATGGGTATGAGGGTCTCATGACATTGAATCCTATTTCCTGGCATGGAGAATTGATGGGTAACTGTACCCAGGGAATTTTCCTGAGGAAAACTGTTGGTTTAACTTTTATTTTAAATTTAATAAAAGAGGCTTACAGTAGGGATGGGAAAATGTATAATAAAATTTAGAACCGAGATTTCTTTTTCCTTTTTGATTTCTCAAGACGGGTTTCTCTGTGTGACTCTGGTTGACCTAGAACTCTCTGTGTACATCAGGCTGGTCTGGAACTCAAAGAAATCCTCTTGCCTCTGCCTCCCAAGTGCTGGGATTTAAGAGGTGTACCACCACTGGCTAAAACTGAGATTTCTGGTAAGGAAGTTTTAATGAATTTTACTTATAGTTGTCCCCTGTAGTCGACTTACTATGATAAATACCTCATGACAGAAGCTAAAGCTTATTTTGTGAATTTAAGTAAGGCACAGTCATAAAACTGTTCATAGGCATGAATTGTAACATAAATAAATACCATTTTCCTTTTGTAGATTTGTAGTGCTTAAGTCACAGCAGAGCAGAATAATGTTGGGATTTTTAAAACTTTGTAACAACTATGCCTTCCTTTTTAGAATGAAGACCTAATTTGCTTCAGAGATATCAAACCAGCAGCACTTCATCATTATCTTGTGGTGCCAAAGAAGCATATTAGAAGTTGCAAGGAGCTAAACAGAGACCAAATAGAAATGGGTAAGATGATAGCGGCATTCTTTCTGGATATATCACATCGAATTGTCTTTAAATATGGCAGTGACAATAAGAAAAAGGTCTAGTGAAATTATCAAGAAGAAATTAAGAGCTTTTGAAACATTCCTCTTTTTGGTTTTCAAGATAGGGTTTTTCTGTGTAGCTCTGGCTTTCCCTGGAACTCACTCTATAGACCAGGCTGGCTGCTTCTGCCTCCCAAGTACTGAGATTAAAGGCGTGCACCACCACCACCATCCTGTGATACATTCTATTAAAAAATGGAAATTAAAAAAAACAGTGTAATCTCCAAATGTTTGTCATACTAATTATTAACTTGTGGCCATGCATTTTTTATATATTAACCTGCCACAGAAGTTTTGAAGCAAATTTCAGATATGGTAATACTTAATTTTTAAAATCTTTAAGATATAATGGAATGATGCTTGATAGTATTTTATTTTATTTTTGAAACAGCCTCTCAGTATGTGGCCCTACCTGGCATAGAACCCACAGAGATCTGCTTGCCTCTGCCTTGAGAGTTCTAGGGTTAAATGTGTTCCTGTGTCACCATGCCTGACTTTGCTTTATGCTTTTTTAAATGATAGTTTTCTTGACTTTGAAACTGGAAAATACTATGAAAAATTCTAAACAAGTTCGGATGTATCATATATAAGCTTACATTGCCTGACCGTCCCAGATACAGATCACTTAGTGCCAGAGTTTAGTTATGAGGTTTTGGTTTTGAACTTTTAGCTTCTGGAAAGGAGATTTGAATTTTATTTCTTCCAGAATTATTTTGTACGTCCTACTCAGTGCCTTCTTTGACTTGTTTTGATATCTTTTCCTAAAACTTTTCCAGTTTATTTCAAGTCTTTTTAGTAGCCTTTCTAACTAACGACAGCCTGGGATTAGTTTTGGCAGTACTGTATGGTAGCCAACAACATAGCTAAATTAGGCCAGACTTCCTAGAGGTGAATAAGAAAACTTTTAGATAGATGATCTTGGTGTAGGATTGTTGTTCATGAGCATGTAGGTGACTGGATTACCAGTTTGAAACTTGTTTCTAAATAGTTCAAAATTCTTCAGTTATCTGAAGTTCTTTCCATGTGCTTTAGAACTTCCATGATTTTATAACCACAAGTCGCATTTATGCTGATAGACACAACATTTAATCTATATTTCCCTGATTGTGTATTTGTTACTAAAATTTCTGCTTCACTCCTTGACTATTTCTTAGTCATCATATAACCTCTTAGGAAGTCTTATCTTCAAGGTAGTGGTAAATTATGGAGAATAGAGGCTGCTGCAATTATTAGTGATAATTAGTAATTGTTAGTTATTATAGCTGGTACATATCAAATGTCATAAATATTGAGGCTGAAAGGATTTGGAATTTCATTATATTGTTCACTCTGTTTTTATTTGGACATTTTCAAATCAAAATCTGAAAAGTTGTTGAACTTAACTTTTATGTAATCTATAAAATGAGAGAAATAATATATAGGTGAAGGATGTGATAACAATGTCAAGTCCAGCTATTGCTATTGACACTTGTAGAATTGTGTTTATTTGCAGACTGCCTGGTTTTCAGAGCACATGTTCACCGAGGTAGATCTTATTCTAAGCATCAGAATTCATAACTCTTAATGTGTTTGAAATTATAAAATATATTATGATCAATTAAATTAGGTATTTAGCACAGCAGTAAATATTTTTAAGTTAAACCAACTTCTAAATAGTTATTAAATATGTCAAAGATGAATATTTTTAAATTTACCTTTATTGCATGTACACTGGTGTTGGTTTCGTGTACGTCTGTACAAGGGTGTCAGATCCCCTGGAGCCGAAGTTATAGACAGAGGTGAACTGCCATGTGGGAATTGAACCTGGGTCCTCTGGAAGACCTCTTAACCTTTGAGCCCTTTCTTCTGCCCTCAAAGAAGAACTTCTAAGTAAAATAACACTTTTCTAAATAATTCAAAATAAAAAAAATGTTGGGTTCATAAATAAATAAAAACAACATATTAAAATTTGTGGAATATAGCTAAAGTACTTAGATGAAAGTTTGTAGCTTTGAATGCTAATATTAGAAAATAAGTTTTAAGGAGCTGAAGAGGTAGCTCAGTAGTTAAGAGTGTTTTTTGTTCTTCCAGAAGGGTCATTTTGCTCCTAGCACCCATGTTGGGTTGCTCACAATTGCCTGTAACTCCAGCTCCAGGAGGTCTGACACTCTCTTCTGGCCTCTGTGGACACTTTCACACATAAAGCACATACACACAGACTATGCACACATAAATAAAAATAAATCTTTTTTTTTAAAGAGAAGAAAATGCGTTTCAAAACCAGTAACTTAAGTGTCTACCAAAGAAAAGGTGCTGAAGAGATGGCTCAGAGGTTAAGAACACTTGCTGCTCTTCCAGAGGACCTGGGTTTTGTCCCTAGCATCTACATGGCACTTCACAACTGTCTGTAACCCCAGTTCCAGGGGGTCCGACACCTATTCTGACACCAATTAACATAATGCACAACGTACACTTAGACACAAACATACTTGGAAAATAAAACAATTCATTTTTATAAAAGATACTAGAAAAAGACAAGCAAAGACAAAATAAATGCCCTGAAGGACGTAAAGTCTTAGCGTGTGCTCCTGTATCCCATAGTGTAATATCATTTCTTTGCTCTCTTACAGTTGAGAACATGGTAGCTGTTGGAAAAGCCATTCTTGAGAGGAATAATTTCACTGACTTTACAGATGTGAGGTATGTATGCTTTGTGTAGAAACCAACATTAATTGAATTTTATGAAATTGGCTTTTCATGAGAAGGGAAGTAGCAGTGACTTCAGATGCAGTATTCCTTGCAGTGAGAATGTAGTTCATTGATAGTGTGAACTTAATAAACCTGTTGCTTATGTCTCAACGTCTTCCAAAAACTGTCACTTGTACTTTGGACAGACAAGTAGGTAAAATAGTTAGAAGTCCTACTGTTATATTGTTCTATATTTTAATTCCTGTAAAATTGGGGAAAGTGAATTTCCTTATGTAAACTAACATGGCTTAAAAATACATTGGTGGGCCGGGCAGTAGTGCTACATGTCTTTAATCTTTAATTCAGGAGGCATAAACAGGCAAATTTCTGAGTTCAAGTCCAGCCTTGTTCTAGGACAGACACGGCAACATAGAGAAACTGTCTCAAAAAAAAAAAAAAAAAACCAACAACAACAACAAAAAAAACAAAACCCAAAAACAAAGGAAAAAAACCAAAACAAAACAAAACAAAAACACTGGGAATGAGTAGGTGGCTGTGTGAATAATAGTGCTTGCAATACATCCCTAAGGAACTTGTCTTGAGTCCCTAGAATTCAGGTAAAAACCCAGGCATGACTGTAGCTTACCTGTAGCCCCAGCAGGGTTGGGAGCAGAGACAGGAGGATTTCTGGGGCTTGCTTGCTGCCAGTCTAGCTCCAGGCTCAGAAAAGGTCCTGCCTCATGATAGATGGCAGACCAGGACACCAGTGTCATTTTCTCAGACAAGGTCCTGCCTCATGATAGATGGCAGACCAGGACACCAGTGTCATTTTCTGGATGTGCATGAGTGTGCATACCAGCCACATTATACACACATGCACATCATTATTAGGCTGCTAGCATAAAATTAACTTGCATTCATTGCTTACTGAACTGAATTTTTATCATTTAACAAAGTTTGAGCAAAAACCCATAACATTTGATTTAAGAGTTTAAGTAATTTTCTATTTAAAAGAGTAGTTTTATAAAGTTAGTAACAAATAATCTAAATTATTTTAATATTTAACAACCTTTTCTGATGGCAGAAGCTTTTTTTTTTTTTGTAATGATGATGGAATTGATCTTAGTACAGCAATGTTGGTTACTGTCAGTATTTTATTAGAGGTGAAAGCCTGCCATCTACTGGCTGTCTTAAAATAAAGGCCCACTATCTGAATGTCTAGTACATATGCATATCTTTACTGAAGTAAGCTTATTTTGATAAGTACTGAAGTGACTAATAATAATGCAACTCACATTCTATGGAGGTCGTATGATGATTTCTTTGATAAATGATGTGTATTGTCTATAAACTTCAACATGGGGAACTTTGAGAATATGCAAGAGCATAAAGAAAACAAAAAAAGATCTATGAATGGTAATTTGCTTACCTATGGATATTTTTTAATCTTACATGATTTACAAGTGTTTTAAAACTACTTGAGAAGTGACTGTCAGTAATCTCTTCTGTTTCAGAATGGGTTTCCATATGCCACCATTCTGTTCCATTTCTCATCTGCACCTTCATGTCATAGCTCCAGTCAAACAGTTTGGCTTCTTATCAAAGTTGATTTATAGACCAGATTCTTACTGGTTTGTCACAGTAAGTAATACCATTATACCAGTAGCATACCAACATATTTAAAGTGTTCCTTTTTATTTTTGTCTTGTTTTGTCTTCATAACACTAGACACGGAGTTCTATTTGGCTTGAACAATTAGTTTAACAAGCTGACATATCCAAAAAATGTATCCACTTTTAATTTATTTTGAATTGATGAATGTTGAACCAGGGTTGTCTTATATTAGTAGGCAACATTTTCTTCTGTTGATGTATCTCCCCTTTTCCCCACCTCAATTTTGAGACAGGATCTTCTGTGTGTGTCATCCAGATGGGCCTTGAAATTGGGATCCCCCTACCATAGTCTTCTAAGGATCTAGGATTGCAGGGTCATGCTATAATTCCCAGTTCCAAATAGTATTTTTAATTTGAGGGAATTTTCTGGGCAGACTAATTCTGTAAGATGAGAAGATGGACATACATAGAAAAGCAGAGCTTTGAATTCAGATATGGATGTAAATTCAGGCTTTTCTTACTTGAAAGATCATATACAGATATTTTTAAAAAGCTCATGTTCTTTTTGCTCTGTAGTACTTGGGGACTGAATGCAGTTCAGTATTTTCATATTTCCTCTGCTGGAATATACACACAGTCTTCCTCCTATCACATCTCTACCATAGTGGTCTGCTTATTGTCATCAAAGAACCAACACTGATACATCGTCACTATCCAAAGTCCTTTTTAGGTTCTACTCTTACTGCTGTTCTTTCTGTAGGTTTTGACAAATGTATGACATGCATCCATCATTATAGGTTCACACAGAATAGTTTCACTTCCCTAAAAATCCTCTACGTTTTGTGTCTTAGTTAGAGTTTTACTGCTGTGAAGAATCACCATACCAGCCAGGCATTGATGGCTCACACCTTTAATCCTAGCACTCGGGAGGCAGAGGCAGGTGGATCTCTGCGAGTTCCAGGACAGCCTCCAAAACTACACAGAGAAACCCTGTCTCGAAAAACAAAAGCAAAAAAAGAATCCCCATACCATGGAAGCTCTTATAAAAGAAGGCATCTAATTGGGTGGTTTACAATTCAGAGGTGTAGTCTGTTGTCATCATGCTGGGAAGTACAGAGGTGTGCAGGCTGACATGCTGTAGGAGAGGTAGATGAGAGTACTCATCTGGATCTTCAGGCAGCTGGAAGAGACAGTGAGCTACTAGGCTTGACTTGAGCTTTTGAAATCTCAAAGCCTACCTGCCCCCACTCATGGACACACTTCCTCCAACAAGGCCTTACCTCTAACAATGTCACTCCCTAGGAGTCTAGGGGACCCCATTTTCATTCAGACTACCACATTTTGCTTCTCTGTTTTATCCTTCCTTCTGTTCCTTAGTTACCACTGATAATTTTTATGTCTCCAAATTTTCTCCTCTTCAAAATTTCTTTTTTTTCTTCTTTGTTTTATTTTTTTTTCTGAGACAGGGTCTCACTATGTAGTTCTGGCTGCCCTGGAATTTAGACCATGCTAGCCTTGAACTCATAGAGATCTGCATACTTTTGACTCCCAAGTGTTGGGATTACAGTGTGTGTCACTACACTGGGCTTTTGGAATTTTTATATTTGGAATTTCACAGGGTATAACCTTTTCAAATTGACTTATTTCATTTAGTAATATATACTTGTTTCTTATATTTCTCACTTAAGAAATCTTTAATATTGCATTTATTCTTTCTGTACAAACGTCTTAATATTTAATGTACCTTGGAATCTGCCTGTTTTTATAGAGTGTCTTTTCTATGTATTATAAAACTATTGTATTTTCTTTTTGTAAGATATTTTTAAGGAACAAAATGTGTAATTCCTTGCTCTTTGTTTTCACAAGGAAATAGTTATCTAATAGAGGCAGTGATAACTATAAAGAACCATATGTTTATATTTGCTCTTTTTTCTTGTTATTATTACAGGTTGATTATTGGCTTGAAAAGTTAAGAAAATAAAAATGTGAACCATGGAAAAGCTCCTTAACCTGACTCATGATGAGCTATTATTTTGCTCTCTTTGAAGTCTAATTGCAGTCTGAAGGTTTGCTGGGTATACACAACACTACCACTGAGTAGCCTTACATTTTTTCTGAATGTCTATTTTCTGAGATCTGTAATATAGTTATGTGAGTACTTTGTCACTGACTTCTTTGTTTTGATGCTTAGTTATGTAAGGTTTTATGCCTAAGATACTATAACTAAAAGTTCACTTGATAAAAATTCTGCTAACCAGGATGCATCCTATATTTTTTTTAAAGTTCAGGTTTCATTTATTAGTAGTCTTAATAATAATTTATGATGAATAAACTGGCATAGAAAATTGAAACCTTTTTACAGTGAAGGAGAAAAAGAAATTAGCAATTTTATGATAGTTTTATAGTCTTACACATAAATTTTCAAAATAAAGAATACCATGCTACCAATAGTCTCTGATTTTAATGATAGAAACATTTATTTATGTGTTACTTTTTTATGGTTTCACACACACACACACACACACACACACACACACACACACACACATTATATTAGATTTCACTTATCCTGTGAGTCTCTTAGTGAGTACCTGAAGCCCAGGATAATAGCGAACTCCGTAATGTATCCTGTGCTTTTCCCTCATATGCATACCTTAGGCGTAGTGAGAGATTAACAACAGTACTAATAAAATAGTGCAGTTATAACCATATAAAATTAAAATACTTCAAGTGTTCATGGCTGTGCTTTGTTGCCATATCGAGTTGAATACAACTGCTATGGATGCTGTGACAGTTAATCTGATAATAGGTGGTTACTATAAGTGGGTAATACATAAAACAGTACGGATGATTCATATCCCAGGTAGGATAGAGTGTGACGGTGTGAAATGTCATTTTCCTGTGCAGAATTGCATGTGATTCTTACGCTTTGTCATTGAATATTTTGTGTTAGCCACAGGTAGCTGACACTATAAAAGTCAAGTCACAGAAGGTGATGCTTTAGACAAGAGGCAACCACTTTAATGTCATTTTAAATGACTATAGTAACCAACAACATGGTTGTCTTAACAAAATTTATGTGTAATTTTGCCTGTCAGGAGATTAGAACACAAATTAGTAATGTCTGAAAACTGACAGAAACTGTTGTCATATGGTGTGCTTTTGTATCAAAGGGAAATGAAAGTAGCTAGTGGTTAGACCCAGTCTTGTGGAAAAAAACTTGATTTAAAAGGAGAAAAGAGATGTAGATAAGGAGTTTATCTTGATAACATAGTGCTAATATTGGTATATCATTTAGTGAAATGTGTTTATTGGGAGTTGCCCTTTAGCAGTATCTACAGACACAGTAGTGACTGAAGGGAGATGAGGTGTTGAAAGATGTTTCTACATTGTGCCAGTGTCTAATAGTGTTATATATGCAGCAAGAAAGGATCATGAAGACTAATGAATTATAGAATCAGCTAAGATTTCTAGTTCATTGTTTTGGCATGATATTAAGTAATTTTAGGTAACACACTATTTATTACAGTGCTTGTTACAATATCTAAAGTCAAGCATTCTCTACTTAATTAAAATTAATTCAGCAAATGTTTTTAATATTTAATAAGTGCCAAACACTATCGGGATCCAGAACTAAAGAAATGATAAAGGTCACCCAATGCTATGGGATGAGGCAAAACTAATTTACTAGATTTTAGTGTGTTAAGTGTGATGATGTCCATAGAAGAGGCCATGAAAGGGAGACTGCTACTGAGAACAGGTAGTGGGCAGACAGCACCTAATTCAAGACTCAGGGTTAGGCTGTCAAACAATGGTGGAAAGTTAAGAAGCTTGACTTCTGTTTCCACTACTCATTTTTACAATTTGAATTTTTACAATTTCAACTTATTCACTAGAGGTGGAGAAAGGGATTTGCATGTAGAGACTATAGGCTCTCAAAATTAGATTTATAGGTTTTACAGCCTTGCCTTGTGTAATAGCTTTCTGATCATTTACATCGCTAACAATTACAATTTTTTCTATACCAGTGAAAATAGGGCAAACTTCAGGAAAGGTACAACCTTTGACTGTTTTACTCTGAACTTGAAGTGATGTATTTGACCTCATGGTGATAGCACATGAAAGGCGGTCAAGGGACTTTTCAAATGCCTTTAGGGACCTTTAAGTAGCAGGTTGATTGTGTCTGTATAGGTTTGTATCCTCTCATGGGGCAGAGCGGGTAAAGGTGCTTACTTTACCTGTAAGTGAGCTGACAGTAAAACCTGGAGGACTTGTGTTTGATCTCAGAATTTTTGTAAAGGTAGAAAAGAAAAGAAAGGAGCCTACAGAGCTGACCTCTGACCTGCACACATGACCTGTGTGGATCTGCACACCCATTTTAAATGCACACACACACTGAGATAACAAAATTAAAAAGTAAAGTCCTTGAAAGAGCAATTTTAATGTATACTTTCTTTACTTGTAAAGGTAAATAATCAAATTACAGTTAAAAAATCCACTTGACCTTTTTGGTAGCGTTTGGCTACTGGTTACCTATCAACAACATCAATTCAAAGCACAGCAGATTAATAATGTGTCTTAGTCGCTGTTCTGTTGCTATGACGAGACGCCATGGCCAAGGCAACTTTTATAAGAGAAAGCATTTAGTTGGGGGCCTACATACAGGGTTAGTCTGTTATCAGCATGCAGGCAGCTCTATTGTAGTAGCTGGGAGCTGCTTCCTGATATGTATGCAGAAAGAGAGACACTGGGCCTGCCATGGGCCTTTGAAATTTCAAAGTCCATTACCTGTGACACATTTCCTCCAACAAAGCCACACCTACTCCTTCAAGGCCACACTTAATCCTTCTCAAATAGTTCCATTCTTTGGTAACTAAGCATGCAAATAGCCTATGGTGTCCATTCTTATTCAAAACAACACATAACTTGTCTTAAAAATGTTTAAAATAATATTGACAACATTACTTATGCATGTGATACTAATGTGTAATTATAAAATTATGGTGAATTAACTAGAAGAAATGAAAATAAAAATGAGGAAGTAATTTGTCAAATTGATGTTTCTACATTCTCTTAGTATTACTAAAGTTCAGAATTCAACTCAACGGTATTTAATTGTCTGAACAGTATAAAAATTTCACCATTAGCAATGGAGACATACCTTTTCTCCCATATAAAGAATCAAAGAAGAGACACAATGACTAAAGGGACTCTTGTAAAGGAAAGCATTTACTTGGGAGCTTGCTTACAGTTTTAGAGGGTCAGTTCATGATCAACGTTGTAGGAAGCAGACTGGTGTGGTGCTGGAGCAGTAACTGAGAGTTTTATATCCTCATCTTCAAGCAGTAGGCAGAGAGAGTGACACTGAGGCTAGTCTGGGCTAGCCCACCTCCAGTGACATACCTCCTACAACAAGGCCACATCTCCTAATTTTTCCTAAACAGTAATACTAACTAGAGAAGAAACATTCAAACGTGAGCCTATGGACGGCATTCTCATTCAAACCACCACAATAAGTCTTTATTTTATTGTATTATTTTATTTTATTTTGCAGATACTTTTTAAATATATCAGTATGTACTAGATACAAGTATACCAAAGTAGTGAAATGAAGCAGATACTTGCTTTTTCATATTTATACTAGAAATATAAATACAAAAACAGATCCGCATTTCAACTTAATCTAATGAAAACCGCTTAGTTCACCTCTGATTAAGAATCAGCTCCTGTGAGAGTAGGTCATGGGGGAACAGGAAGTTGAGTGGGTGGGGGTAGAATAGGGGGAAGAGGGAATCATAGGTTGGAAGACAGATCAGGCACCAGAGTGACCTCTAGTGATCTAAAGGGATAACACCAATTGGCAAGCTAAGCAATAGTGGAGAGACCACCTCGAATGCCCATTCCTGATAATGAACTTGATGTCTATAACCATCCGGGAGCCTTCATCCAGTGATTAATTGAAGCAGAGGCAAACACACAATTAAGCACTGAACTGAACCCAAGGAACCCAGTGACAAAGAGAGAGGAGTGATGAGCAAATTGGCAAAGAATGGGCTGGCAAAACCAGCAGAGACAGCTGATCTGAACAGGGGAGAGCTCTTGGGCCCCAGACCAACAGCGGGGAGGCCAGCATGGGACTGATCTGGACCCCCCAAATGTGAGTGTCAGCGAGAAGGCCTGGGCAACCAATGGGGCCCTGAGCAGTGGATCAGTGTCTATCCCTGGAATACAAACAGTCATTGTGTACCCATAGCACAAAGAGGGATGTTCTCTCAGCCTGGACTCTTAGGGGAATGCCTAGACCCTACCCAGAGTAAAATGACAGACTCTAGATATCCCCTATGTGGAAGGAATTGGCAATAGGATGGGAGGCTGGGGGGGGGGAAGGGGAGTGCGGGAGGAGGGGAGGGAGAGGGAACTGGGATTGACATGTAAAACAAGCTATTTAAAATTAAAAGAAAAAATGATAAAAAAAAGAATCAGCTCCTCACTGATTAGCTAATTAAAACTTCACAAAGAAAAATGGAGCTTTGTTCACTAATCGTGCATTAATTAAACCACTCCATAAGCTAGATACTGCTCAAGCAGTATTGTATTTAGGATGTTTCCTATCCTCAACCCATTCTTCTGTTTTCCTTATCTTTGTCATTGACAACCCCAGTCTTTCAGTACTCGAATTAGAAGTGTTGGACTCATTGTAGACTCTTTTACACTTCATATCTAACCTAACAGATCTGTTGGCAATATATTCATAATCTGGCCACTTCTTACCAGTACTGTACTACTGTGATCATGACCAGTTATTTCTTACCTAGATTATGACGGTAGCTTCCTTTTGGTCTCCCAGTCCCTTTCCTTCTTCACTCTGCAGTCTATACAGTCTGTTACAGCAACAGAATAATTGCTTGCTTGAGTGTTTTTTTTTTTTTTTTGCTTGAGTGTTCTTTTATGCCTTCTGGCTCCTAAAGTCTTTGCCCTTAGATTTGTGCAGGTTTTGGTACCATGTATTGTCATTATGGGACTTGAACTAAAATTGGCCCATTGCTCTCAGTTCCAGTGTGTGTTTTTACAGAGACTCATCCTTTCTTCTCTTGAATATCCTTAGACTCTCATCACTGGCCTCTATGCCTCCACTTTCTCTTTTTGAGAGTTTTCATAAGAATTTTCACTAAGTCAAGTGACTATATTACTAAGTTGGGTTTAATCGTATAAATTCAGTGGTAGAGTGCTACCTTAGTCTTATCTGAGGTCTTCTGGTGAACGTTCACCCACATTTTCATGTACTTTCTTTGCTCTTCAGAACTTCACTTTTTCATCCTCAAGACTATTCATTAGGCTTTTTAGCTTTATTTTTTTTTGATGCCATGTACCAGTCATTTTTACTGAACATTACACTTTTTGCAGCTCTCATACACAGTATTTTTGTTTTCCTACCCTACGCTTCTACATAGGGTAGCCAAGATATGATGGGGTACTTCTTGTCATTGGATTTTGATGTCTTTTTGCAGTTGAGGGAGTTACCTTTTTACTTTATCTTTGTATATACTTCAGTGTTTCATGTGTATGTCTGGCAGCAAATTCACTGTATCCCTCTGATAATGTTACTGTAACACACTCAGGTTTTACTATGGACCCTAATATCAGTGTATTAGGTACTTTTCTGTTCCTGTGATACAACAACATGGACAAAGCAACTTAAGGAGGTGTTTATTTGGGTTTCAGAGGGTTAAGGGTTCATCACCATCACAGTGGAGAAGCATGACAGCAGACAAGCATGGTGGCTGGAGCAAGCTGAGACTTCACATTTTAAATTTCACGCAGAAAGTAGAGTGGGCATACTTGAAGTGGTGTACATTTTTAAGTTCTCAAAATTGGTTCCCAATGACACACTTTCTTTTAGCAAGGCCACACCTCTTAAGCCTTCCCCAAACAGTCCCACCACATGGTAACTAAGCATTCAAATGATCTCGTGAAGCCATCACAATCAGGTAACTTTCAATCCAAAAATTAATGTGATAGCCTGCATGTAGGCTGATCTTCCTAGCCTTGTTTACTTGGTGGTGCCCATATCCATGATACACTAAGTGTGAAACTCTTGAGTTTCTAAATCCAGGCACAGTAGATACTTAAAGACTTTAATAACTGAATTGACAAGGTCATAGTCAAGTGTCATATTAGTCAAGTGTCATATAGTCCCTTCACCTTGCTGGCTTTTCTTCTTCTGAACATTCCTTTAGAACAAATGCCTATTTTCATTAGACTTGTTTTTAATGTTCTTCAAAGCTTAGTTAGAGCCAACATTCCTGGCCCACATGAAGTCATGCCACTGGAGAAGGTTCTTCTAGCTTAGCTCAACCAGGCAGACATACTTATTTGTAAATGTGTAGTCCTCAATTTATTATTATATTTGAATCATAGCAGAGTTAGAGTTTAAGAATGATTGAGAGAGAAAGCTGGCTTTTCAACCCATCTTTTTTGGTCTTTTTTTTTTTTAACACACAGAACTTTTCATTACCAGTAGGGAATTATAAGGGTTTGCAGTTAGTTCTGGGGTATCTTGAGACCAAGGGATGGGATTTTTTGGCATGTGCCCTCATGCCTGTGTAAAAGTTAGAAGAGAACTTTTTTTCTCATTGGTACTCTGTGATGTCCAATCCCATTTCAGATGTTGGGTGCTTTGCCTGAAATACATGGATGCATGGTTTGGTGTTTCATATGAGCTCTTTTGTTGGGACTTGTTAAATTTTTATTTCTTTCGCTCGGTGTTGGTGGTGCATGCCTTTAATACCAGCACTCAGGAGGCAGAGGTAGTCGGATCTCTGTAAGTTCTTGGCCAGCCTGATCTACAGAGCGAGTTCCAGGACAGCCTCCAAAACAATATAGAGAAACCCTGTCTCGAAAAAACCAAAAAAAATTATTTCTTTGATTTTGTGTCGTACTAGTCTCATAGCTGAGTGGCATATTAGAATCACAACAGAAAACTCCGCTCTCCAATTTCTGATGCTTGCTTCCCAGGAGTGGTCTCTGAGTTCTAATGGGCAGCTGTGCAGGGTCTTCACTACTTGTAGGATATCAGTCTTAAAGAAGGAATCAAATTTCTAAGAGGACAGCTGTGCCTCCTTCCAAAATTCCCCATCTTACTGGTTTAGGACACAAAACTCTTATCTAATAAATAAATTGGGGTTGATACTGCCACCTTTTTCTAATCCTGGGCTCAGCCACTGTCTTAGGCTTTCTATTGCTGCAAAGAGACGCTATGACCATAACAACTCTTATAAAGGAAAAACATTTAATTGGGGCTGCTGCCTTCCATTTTCAGAGGTTTAGTGCATCATGGTGTCATGCAGAGAGACATAGTGCTGGAGTAGGAGCTGAGTTCTGCATCTTGATTCATAAGCAACAGAAAGTGGTCTGAGATACTTTGTGTCCCTTGAGCATATATGAAACCTCAAAGCCACCTCCACAGTGACATACTTCCTCTAACAAGGCCATACCTACCCCAACAAAGCCACGCCTAATAGTGCCACTCCCTATGAGTTTATGGGAGTCAGTTACATTCAAACTACCAGAGTCACATAGCAGATTACCTGTAACTGTACAACTCTCAAAGTTCTGAGAGAAGCTCAGGTAGAGGAACCTAGTCCCTCCTGCTCATCTGTAGCTGATGAGGTCTAAGCATCTCATAGTGATAGTGGGCCAGGATGGCCTTTTCACACTGGAAATTGTGGCAAGTCTGGGAAGATGTTATATTAGGGAAAACTGGGTAACCTCTTTAGGTTCTTGGTCTCATTAATAAAAGAACTGGCCTGGTGCTGGTGTATACACATTTAATCCTAGTACTTGGGAGGCAGAGGCAGGCAGATCTCTGCAAGTTCGAGGTCAGCCTGGTCTAAAGAGCAAGTTCAAGGACTAGTTCCATAGTTGCTGGGAAGTCCTGTTTCCAAAAACAAAAACAACAACAGCAAAAAGAATTTAAGAACAGACAACAATGGGAGCTGGAGGACAAAAAAAGGAGCTCAAACAGAAGCTTGACGATTGAAATTTCAAAAGAAAA